TATCCTCTGGCCCAAGCGGCAGAGTGCCGCCGACCTCTAGCTGTGGCGAGCCTGAGTCCCATTGCCTGCGCAGTTCGTTGTGGTGGCCGAAAGTGCTTACGCTGATGGTCTGCGCTCTGTTTCGGGGGCGTGTCTTGAGCGCGGCGTTTTGGGAATTTGTGGTGGAGGGCGTTGGAGAGGGAGACGCAGCACGAGAGTGACGAGAACCTCGCGGGGATTGCGAATTGGATCTGGGTCTGGATCTGGGTTGTGATCTATCTTCCTGCACAGGATCCGCCGGCACTAATGTATCAGCCGCCGAATCCCAAGAAGGCAGTGACAACGGGAGCTCGTCCTCCCTCGGCGGCCGCACGGGTGGTGGCTGCTGTGGCACCGGGACAAAACGCAGGGGACTGAGTAGCGGCTCCTGACTTTCCCTCTTTCCCCTCTTACTATCACCAGTTGTCCGTGGTGTGCCATCCTCGCTGAGGAAGCAGGCATGACCCGGGGCCCCGGCGGATCGAGGGGATGGGATCCCGACGCTGCTTCCTGGGTGTGGGTGTGGGGGTTGGCTTAAGGCATTCGGATATGTCCATGATCCTCCTGTGTTACGAGCGATCTGTGCGGTTGTCTCGTGGTAGAGCTCACGGGCATCAGTGATGCTGATGCCGCTGTGATCACTGTTGGCTGAGGGAGCTGGGGACATGGTTCTTGCGGTCCCGTTGCCACCTCCTCTGATGGTATCACTGGCCTTGCGTGGTTGTAAAGGTCGTGGGATAGGCGATGGCGCTTCTCTTGCCACTAGTCGCTTACCGATATTTGGATTTGCTTTTGCTTTGGGAGAGTATTCTATCGACACGGGGCTATCGTACCGGAGAGGTGCGCTGCTTGCGGCTAGATTTCCTGAACCTGCTTCGGATACCGTGCTATCTCGATATTGGCTGTAATAACTGCTGCGGCTACTGACGGGTGATATATAACCTGTCGGATGTTTGTCTGTGGCGTTGTTATCGCTGTTGGTGAAACGATCCTTTTGTTCGGCAAAAGGGCCCGGTCCCGAGCGTTGTCTAACCTTGGTATTCTGACTTTGCCTGGTAGGTGATAACGGTGGAGATGGTCCGAAACTATCAAGCTGGAGGATATTCGATACCGGTGATCGTGGTTGCGATGAAATGATTTGTTGTGACGAACTCGACCCTGGGGTGCGTTCAGAGCCTGCTGGAGGAATCTGTAGAGGCTTGGGTGTTCGCGGTGCCGGAGATGATGCTGACGTTGATATTGGTGTTCCGCCACTGGGTGTTAACTGCTTGGCGATGATGGAGTTGATCTCTGCCTCCTCCTTTTCCCAGTCAATGTCCCCTGAGTTTTGGCGATTGTTGATCTTTTCGGGAGGACCGGCTCCTGTGGTATTCGGCGACGGATGGACCCCCTTTGCGCTGTCCAAGTCCTTCTGGCTTGAGATAGAGGCTGCTGGCCTCCGCTTTGGTGGAATGGGTGGAATGGGCGGTAATGGCTTTTTCTCGTAGACTTCTACGTCTTTCGGCTTTGGAGGATTGAACCGAAATCCTGTCGGTGATAACGGTGTAATATTGGCCCCTTCAGCAGAAGAAGGACGTGGGATGTCGGCGCGACCGGAGGGTCGTTCGGGGGTTGTTGTCGTCTCGTCCATCTTTTTGGTTGTCCCTGGTCTCGGCTTCTTTTCTTCTGGAATACCATACGACTCCGCCAACCTGAAACAGCAATTCTTTTCTTAAAACTATGGTCTCCCTAGCTTGTGTTTATTATGCATGTAGAGATCGACGTTCGAGACTCGAAAAGCTGGATTATAGCCAGTTTCAACAGTTCCGCGACTGTATCCCTCCCGGCCTTCTTCCGGGCTAATGGGGCTGGATCCCAACAGACAAAGGATTTCGTCCCTTGTGAGTGAAGCTTTTCATGGGCAGTAAGCGAGTTTCTTTCAACTTCGTACTTACCGTGCCACCATCACGAGGCTGGCTTTCCCTTTGTTGAGATAGTATAACAGACAGGGACAAAGGCGAGAGAATACATGGTTTAAAGGGAAATATCAAAACTGAACGAAAAGCCACCTCTCAAAATCCAACGGCTTAAGGAAGACGGAAAATATTGAGCAGAGAATAACGGTGTCTTTGCTCCGCAATATTAATCCCACATTTCTAGATGCCGGATAGAATGAACTGAACTGTGTGGGTGTAACGACCATCCGAGGACTTTTTGCTGTATCCATTGTCCTGTGCCTTTTGACAACTGGAATGGGTTACAGGTGATACGCTGGATGACGCACCGTCCATCATACTTGGAGACCTTTCTGCCAGATGTTGGGTCGTCAGACAGACACACTAAGTAAGCAATTCAGACAGCCTCTTGAGGTGCGGGATTGCCGTGATAGGTCCGGTACGAACGGCTGTATGTAATTGTGTAGCCTTCGGAAGCAATCCCGATGGGGACAAAGGTAGGATTGGAACATTGATGGAAGAAGCAACGTGTTCTAAAACCTGAATCATTATTAGCCGTAGATTTATGTATGCTTCCTTTATCTCTATATCGCTGGGGCAGGGAAACCAAAAAGACCTTAACGCCGATTTCTCTAAACCAACCATGTGACGGCGTATGATACTCGGATTTTCCACCATTCCGTTTTCCATCCAAAACAAAGCATATACCCGCACCGAGCATGCGCGAATCTTCGGGTTCTGATCGTTTGGGCTGCAGAGGTGCGGCACGTGGGAATTAGTCCACATATTCCTCGTCCTCGTCCCTAGTATTAAAGTTGCTCATCAAAATGTCGTCAACGCCGAGCCCAGTCGAAGTGTTCCTAATCCACTCGGTCTCAACTCGGAAGAAGATCCATATCCACCGACGGAAAACCTCAAAGAACTCGATCAGAAAGATCGAACTCTCCAAGTCGCTGATGGTATTGAGATATGGCTGCAGCTTGATCATCCATGTGCACCGTAGTGCCAGATCCAATGCCACGACAAAGTAGTACACCACGGGCTTATGAATCAGCAAGCGGCGCCGCAGGCCAAACGGATGATCGGGAGAGTTGCGCTTCTGTACCCCAGCAAAGAGAGTGAGATCCCAATCCTTGGCAACGTCCCAGTAAAAGCTGTAGAGCGAGTTGAGCAAACACGCAACGATCCACGCACGGTAGAGACTCGTAGTCGGTGTGCCATTAATATTCGCGTTACGCAGCATGGCGTTAAGAATAATAACTGGAAACGCGGTCGAGTACTTGGCTGCGTTGGCGAGATGCTGTCCACCCCAGCCTGTGGACTCCTTGAAAGGGGAATTTCGCACGCGCAGATACTCGATAAGACACTGGCGCAGCCGGATAGCGCTTGGTATCGCCAAGAGTAGTGGTACGAGGTAGGTGCCGCCGCAACCGCGATTCGGCCGGTCAGTAGCAGATCCGTTCCGCGTGAAGAACATGCAGAGACATATGAACAAGTCCCCAAGGACCTTGGCGTAGCTGGTGAGAACATCGGCCAGCAAAATATCCCCGAACTTTCCATCCTTGGCCTCAGCCAATCCTCCTACGCTGACCCGGCGTAGAGTTGCGAGTAGTCGACGGCGACCGGAGTGTGACACGGACAATCTTCGTAAGGGTAGCACGAAGAGGGCTGCGGTCACGGCCAAGTTGGTCATGGGAATCCAGTCATAGTCGATGACGCGTTTCGGATCTCGCCCGGCAAAGGACCAAAATATGAGGATCGAAAGAGCGGAGCTTAGAGAAAGAAGAGTAGCGAGACGGTATGTCGAGTGATGGTGAGGGAGCTGGGTGGTGCTTGATCTTCCCGGGTATCGGATTAAGGAGGGGACATCGATCTTTCGAATATGGAGGAAGTGAAGGTTGAGGCCCCAGCCCCAAACAGCTAATCAACCAGAAAATGTTAGTTCAAAGCCATGGTTCCAAGGAGCAAAGTACGGGACAAAAAATGGCAGGTTGGGCAGCTTTCATACCTAGAACCACGATGAAGGCAACCCGGTAGGGGAGGGGAAAGGTCAAGCTGAAGGAGTCGAGCTCCGGCTCAACCACAGGATCACCGTCCATTGCGCCAGGCAGCGGTCGATTTGCTCTCCGTCATCGAATGCGGAGAGTGGGAAGGAAGGAAAGAGAGGAATGCAAAGAAAGAGTTGGCCAAGCTTGGATTCAACTTCTCGACAGCAACACGTTTCGAGATTGATTGTCAGTGACGACGGAGGGTCAAGATGGAAATTTAAATTGGTTAGCTGTCGCAAACAGTTGCCAAGCCCCCCTGTCGCATGCACTCATTTTGGCCTGGGGAGAAGACGTCAACCCCTGGCTGCGGGCCCAGCCTGTGGTGACACCCGCTGCACCATCCCTGCCACTAAAGCCTGGGCTACGACCTTCTGGGCGCCCCCTGCCAATTCCTCAGCTGGAACCAGCACACATGGCCGGGGCGGCGCCGGGCGTGCTGCCCCCAATCCCCATCAACCCAAGGACCGAGGTCCATCCGTTCCCGACCACCACTTTCATCTCAGCTTCAACTACCACCCGTCGTCGATCTCGACAAACATCAAAATCAAAATCTAACGATCAGACCGAAGGACCCTGGCCCATCAACTGCCAAAGCTTCAACGATTTGAGTATAGACATTCGAGTTCTACTGGCAATTGAGAGTTCCTGCGGGCCCCTGATTACGCGCCCGTGTAAACGCAACTTTGACCCCCGATTACGAGCACACCCGACCCGACTCAACGACGACACATCCATTACCATGTCATTGACAGCAACCAAGAAGCCTCCCCCGCCGCTCACGAGCTCGCCATACCCATTCGCCGCCGCCCCTGACATCATCCGCGCGCACCAAAAAGATGCCTACTTCCAGGGCGTCCTCACGAACCAGCTGACCGACCTTCACCGGCGCGTCCGCGGTGCCCGCTCCGCCCACTCCTGGGCCACCGAAACCCGCACCGCCGCCGACCTGCTCTACCTCTGCCTCACCACCCTCCTCGGCAACCGCACTCTCGGTGAAGAGTACTGCGACCTAGTGCAGGTCGAAGAGCCAAACGTCGGTGGCAACGGCAGGATACCAGAAACCCAGCACCCCGTCGAACCCACAAGCGAAGCCGGCGGCCCCCGTCTGCCCTCGCTTCAGCGACGAGCCGGTTACATCGTCAGCAGCGTTTTGGTCCCGTATCTCTTCAGCCGTCTTCTCCCTTCCATCCGCGCCGCTCTCCGCAAGCGTCTCCAGGATCGTTTGACGGTTCTTGCCCGCCAAGGCCGCGGCGACACCAAAGGCGCCACCCCATCGGACTCCAAAAAGGGCGCCGGCTTCTCGACGGTCTCAACGCTCGAGTACCGCGTCAAACGCTACCTTCTCACGCACCTGACCTCCATTACCAGCGGGGCGCACCTCCACGCCCTGACGCTGGCCGTCTTCTACTTCTCCGGCGCGTACTACTCATTCTCTAAGCGCCTCTTCGGCCTGCGCTACGTGTTCACGCGACGCATCGAGGAAGGGCAGGGCGGCCGCGCGGGGTATGAGGTTCTCGGCGTGCTGCTCGTGGTGCAGATGCTCGTCCGCGGGTATCTACACGTGACGGCGCAACTGTCGTCCTCATCACCGCTCAGCGCTGAGGAGGCTACCACCGAGGCGGGCATCCGGGAGCGGGCGTTCGGGCCGGGCGCTTACCCTAATGTGTCGTTGGACGAGAATGCTTACAGCAGCAATAACGAGCTGTTGGTGGAGATGGGCACGCCTGGTGCGGGTAACCAGCGCAGTTTGGCGGAGATTGGAAGAACGACGCATACGCCGGTATCCAAGGGCGGGAGGGCGAAGTATGACTTGGCGGCGAACGAGGAGGTCATGGGCTGGATCAAGGGGAGACAGCAGAGGATGTGCACGCTTTGTTTGGAAGAGCTGAAGGATCCGGCGGCGACACAGTGCGGACATGTCTTCTGCTGGTCGTGTATTGGGGACTGGGTGCGTGAGAAGCCCGAGTGTCCGTTGTGCAGACGTGAGACGATGGTACAGCATATTCTGCCATTGAGGGTTGCGTAGAGCAGTCCTTTCGTGGCGGCCAGGGGGCCGGTGTTGATGTAGACCGGGGATATGTCAAAAAGCAGGAGGTTATCACGTCTTAAAGAACAGATTTTGGATAGTGTCAGATCGTTGAGAACGAGGAACAGATAGTAAGCGGTTGCGGTTTAGAGATAATGTATATGTAGCAAGCATATTGCCAGGAGAGGGAGCCTGTTTTCGTACATAGCCTAATGATTCAACGATCCTATATCTTTTGCAGTCATCACGGGGCTTTCCTTGACATTGATTTGCTCATATCATAAAGAAGTTGAATTACTCCTGGCCCGATATTAATATTCTGGTATTGTTCTAGGTAAACCCTCCCACCCATGATTAAATCATCGATCCTAGTCCCGTCTGGACCTCGATGAAGACCCTGAGCACCTCGATGTGTGTGTGTGTACAGAGGGTCATGAAATGCATACACGAAGTTCCAAAAGAATCCGGTACCTCAACGGAAGGAAGTCTTGAGAGTTCCAGCCCATCCCCAACAATTAAGCCATAAAGCTCGTGGTTGTCGTGTTTGCGCTTTGCCGCCCCAAACAACCCATAATCATGCACGCTTTCGCGTCATCAAAGTCGTTAGCCCATCATATGCTACCTTGTGGAAACGAGGACCCGCTCATTCCTTCTCGAGCTTTCCTGAGGAAACCCTTTGGATGAAATCTTGAATCGCCTCAAAGTAACCCTCCTCGAGGACACTCGAGTTGTGGTCACCGTTGGGAAGCGGGTGCCAGATCTTTACCGGGGCGGTGCATAGATCATAAAGCTGCTTCATATGAATGGGTCTAAGATGCCGATGATAGGTTAGCGAACAACTCTGTTGCAACCCAACCGGCCGCAACCACAGAACCGTGGTTCAGACAGACCAGGGCCAGGTACGACGGGAAAGGTTGATAGAGAAACCTACGGCACAATCTCGTCCTGGAGTCCACTCAAGAACAGAATAGGCACCTTGACATCGCCAATCAAGGTGTCGGTAGCCCAAACCTGGTGGCATAGGGCGGCAAGGTACCGAGCGGGCGGGATGATGCTGGGTATCAACTTGCGCATGCTGAGAAAGGTGTTTTCCAGAATCAAGCCGACAATGTCGCCCCTGCCCTGGTTCTTGGACACAAGCTTGACGCTAACTGCTCCACCAAGACTCTGGCCGTAGACAAGATATTTGTGGTCTCGCGTCTCGGCGCGATCGCGGAGATAGTCGAGGGCGGTTTGGGCGTCAATGTTGAGTCCAGATTCGTCGGGGGTGCCGGTGGAGATTCCGTAGCCACGGTATTCGAGCATAAAGACGTTGCAGCCGACGGCTTGAAGCAACATGCGTGCGATGGGTAGACGGTGGCCAATGTTACCAGCGTTTCCGTGGAACATGATCACCGTCACCTTGGAATTGGGCCCGCCCCTGGGGCCCCGGATGTAGAAGGCTGACAGCTTCTCGCCATCTTTGGTCGGGATTATGAGTTCTTCGTAGTCTTTGATGCGGTAGAAGCTGGGTCGCGGTATGTCCGTTCGAGAGCCCGGGGGCATGTGGGAAGGATATATTAGAGCTCTACAAGTACGAGTTGTATTAGTACAAGTGACGCAATTGGAAGACAAGTGATGGTGGATCACGTACTTTTGCTTGAAGTAGAGCAGCCCAGTAAGGATAGCGGCGACTCCCTGGATAGGCAAAAGCCAAGGTTAGCACATGAACAGACGGATTGGCACCACCGATATCGCCCTGGCGGAGGCCACTTTGATGTTGACGGGGAGGGAGAAGGCATTGGACTTGCCCCCTTAGCCAGTCGGCGCGGACGACTCAACAGCCATTCAGGCACAGGGCGGGAGAGGCAGGAATTCCGGGTCATACAGTAGTTGCTATCGCCGGCAGGCGCAAGTAGCTTGCGACGCTGCTCAGCAGAGACACTGTCTGCACCAGGAAAGAATTGCCATCGGGAGCCGGAGGCGTGACAGTTGGAGATGACATGTTTGCCGAGGCGAGCGAGGGTTTGAGGGTCGTTGGGTGGACGCCTGACGGATCGGGTGCCGGCTTCCAGCAGTGGACTTCTTTGGCTCTGCTGGCGTCCGGGCTGCAGAGTCTCCTGCGCAGATTGGATTGACGTTAGGTACCACGTCCAACAGAGTGATGGAGTGACGGCGTGACGGGCTCCAGACAGGCGAGACAGGGCAACCTGGGAGCAAATGGCGGTAGGAAAAACAAAGTCCGCAGGGAAGCTCAGCTCGGGGACCTCTTCGGCTGGACGCGGTCTGCAAGGTACGGACGGCTAGACACCCAAGCCAAAAAGAACTCGTGGAAGTGGAAGCTCCAGGATGGTCGCCAACTGTCAAATGGCAAACGATGCTTGTTGCAGGGGAGATTGTCGACGCCACGACGCCAACAGGGGATGGTGATGGAGATGTGGATGAAAGTGATGGGGCCAAAGGGGAGTCCAAGCTCCCAGGTGCCCCAGGGAGACGGGACCTGCGGCGTCAGGGCGACAAAGACAGCCTATAAAAGTTATAAGGTAAAATAAGAGCCCAAATCTCTTCTTCAACTTGGATGACTCCTGATCGTGGTGTTTGTTTTCTTGAGATACAATTTCAGCAACATGCTTTTTCCTCCTGTCGCCATTGACTTGCGACTTTACAACCTCTTGCTCTCAAAGTCCAGAGACTTCAAGGCGGGCTTTTCTGTAATTGCGCTGCAGGGTTCAAGCTTCATATTGACGTGCTGTTTGTGAGTGCTGACAGCCCACACAACTCCATCGGTGGCGCCCCGCTGTCAATGTCGGCGAGGAAGGTGCGTGAGTCGCGATACATCTTGAGCCATACTGGATTAGGTTAGTGTTTGCTCGCAACGTAAGCGACTGACGAGGTGGGATAAACTTCCGGAGCATCATCACAGTTTCCCCCGAGTCAGCCAAACTCAAGGAACGCGATGAGATGCCGCGCTTTCTGTGTGCCCCGGGAGTTAAAAGGGACTGATTGTCCTCAAAAGACCAATGTTGGCATATGTTGCTGAAGTCCAAGTTATACCTCTAGTGTACAGGCAATGGCAGTAAGAGAAGGATCGCCGACAAGGAGCTCGTCGGGCAGATAGCGACGTGCTAAACTAGGAACCTCTCGTACCTGGCGCTTATGCGGATCCGTATTGCCAAGCTCCGTCAAAGTTGACCCAAGACAGCGGTTGGAATGTCGTTCTCAATCACCAGTGTCCCATCTGGAATAGCTAACCACAACTGTCTCTACATTACAAGTAGCGTCCTTGTTATTCAGTTTGACCGATCTCCGAGAGGGAATATGGTGCGCAAGAAGAGAAATGAGAAACAACAAGCCATCTCGTCCCCGGATGGCCGCATTAGATTCCCCTTACGTATAAGCAGAGGCATACCCCTTGACCCCCTCGCTGAGTTTGCGTATATTCTTGAATCCAACAATGAAGCACCAGCTACGACAGGACTGAGGGACCAAGCGGATGGAATGTCCCGAATGGTGGCCATGAAACAGAAGACGACACAAGTCTAAGCGGCGGGTTGCCATGCTCAACACAGATGGGACGAAACGAAAGTCCGGGCATAAGACAAAACGCATTGAGGACGAACACACAACAGTTGACGTCTTTATGCATCAAGAGGATAGGCGCCGTACATTATCTCTCGAGCTGGCCCGGAGCGGCAGTACCTCGCAATAGACATCGCACAAGTTGGCGGTCATATTGGAATTTTCTCTTCTCTTCCACTCACACCCATCATGAAACACCATGCATGGTTTGCATCTTCAAATCGCAGACCTCTCTGTCCCAGATGCAGAGTTGATGACGTACCTATAACCCCAGAAAGGAACCATCACCCATGCTCAAGTGTGGGAGCCAAGGGAATTGCGCACATATAGTGTACGTACGCATGGGACGAACGGCTGTTGGGAACTCTTCAATGCTTGGTGTTGGTACGCAGAACTAAGTCACAGCCCCTGGCCATCCAGGTTCATGCCCCTGAATCGACGGATTCAGCTTGGACGGGAGGACTGATACTCCAACCTGAAGGACCAACTGTATGCAGGGCGGGTTCTCTATCACACCAAGAATACTTACCACATTCCTCCAGGAACAAGGCCGGCGTCAATAATGCTGCGAGCGCACTATGGTTCGACGTCACTATCTATAGCCCGCCGCGCTCTAGCAGACATGGACGAAATGTCTCGAATTGTCCACTGCAGTGGGGGAATGATGCATCTCGTGGTGATATTGGCTGTCAGGTGAGCAGCTCTCTTCAAGTCTCGAGGCCCATCCGGCACTGGGCCTGACCACATTGAAGACCACATTAGAGATCACGCCTACCTCGGCCAAGTCGCGTGCTTCTGGTTAAGACGGTTGCTGTATGCCTTTACAGAGGTGTTTCGGGCTTTCGTCCTGCGTGGTTTCATCGTCTCAAGGTGAAGGAACCTGTTCAGCGATATCAGACAGTCTGATCACTCATCTTGGCCGATGGGGTTACATCTTGGTTAGCCCGTACCCCAGGTGTCGTCGTAGTCATGAATGCCGGATTTGACTTCTTTTTTTAAATGAATTGAAACGCGCTTGGGCGGTCCCAACCAACCAGTAGCGCACTTCGTCCGTGTATTGTGTGTTGAGATGCTGGTAGGCGCCATAGCTTTTACGCCTCCGCTGAGCGGCTGTCTGAAAGGTCCTTGAATCCCTTGGATGCCCAATCCGGCCGGCATGGCTCGGGAAGTCTTTCGATCAAGCAAGCTGCCGTGCTTCGCGTAAGATAGAGGTGAGCAGCACGAGGGATGTTCTGGCTGAGTGAGATGGGCGCCCCGGTCAGGCTTCACGGCAGGCTTTCGTCTGACAGAAGCACTGGCTTGCTAAGACCGTACCAAGTGTGTAACAGGCGCTCGCAAGGCTTGACGGTGAAGTTATGGTTTCGGGGTCTTGTGTTGGCATTTGGCTCTTGGAATGAGGATCGGTAGTCCGGGGGATCAACGTCAACAAGGTGAAAAGTGGAAGGGGAGCCACGAGCTAAAGACGGGCCCGGGGCGGGACAGGTGGGCTGTGGATTCGCGGGCGGGGCCCAAATTCCTGCAGTAACGGGACCCGCTCGAGCTAAAATGCATCAACGCCTAAACTGACCAGCCAATCCTCACCACCATCTGGGGCATCTGGTAAACTTTTTTTTTCTCCGGTTCTTATCGGCTCGCGAAAAATCCGACAAGGCCAACTTCAGCCCAGCAAAGCGCAGGATCCCAATCAAGAATTATCAGGCGCAGAGGTCACCCACCCGTTCCTGGCAACATCGAGTTTTTCAAAGCGTAGGTTGGTTCTGCCCTGGAGGTCCGTCCCGTCTGTCAGATTCTGCGCTTCATCTCAGCTCCGGACCTGTTCATCTGATTCGGCGCACCGAGCCACCGTCCAGTCCACTTTTATTGACAGTTGTTTTCTCAGCCCGTTTGCCTTCTGCTCAAGACGCACTCCGCCTCCTGCAGTCTTACAGCTCACTTGCGCCCCCATCTGAGTGCTGTTCATTCCTGGCAGGATCTGCACAGAAAGCATACCCGAGTCCCATTCAGATTTGCGTGAAGTCGCAACCGGCATCCCGTTGAGACTCTGCGTCACGACATTTCCAGGTTCATCATCGAGTAGCAACACCAAAGACGCCTCGATAGGTTGAGCAGAAACAGCATTTTCTCACCTTCAATTCTTGCCCGACTGGTACCAACTTCTCAAGGATTACCGATACGGCAACCCGCTGCCCACTCAGACCCAGTTGTCAGACCAATTCCTGGCAGATAATCCTACTCAGCCACCCGCAAAAGAGCACTTCGACGCCGAACCACAGCAAGTCGCCCTAACTTCTGCTTACTCTTCGCCAATTGAAATCACCGTTAGAGACAACACATCAAACCGCAATCATGGTGTCCTTCTCTTGTGAGGTAAGTCGCAAACCCATTACAATTCTAGTGTGGCTATCATGCGTTGTTGTCTGCTAGAGCAGACAAGGAATGCCTCTGTCCATGGCAGACTACCCTCCTGTAACAGAGTATCCCATAAGATGATGTTTTTACCACCTATATATGGACGTCAGTCTATCACCCCTCCCCCAATCCCTGATCTGCCCCCTGGTTTGATACAAAGTACATAGCACACCCAAATCCCCCCCAATCTCCCCTCCCTGTCAGACATATCGCCCCTACTCAACCCCTTCCTGTCCGAGAAGGGCAATCTAAACTGACATCACACACATTCCCGCCCACCATCTCCCCGGGTAACCACCAACTAAAGGTGTCCCTGTGCACCACTAACACCCACCCCTCTTCACCTTTCCGCACGCCTCTCCCTATCTAGAGCTGATCCGGCTGGTCTCCTTACCCTTCCTTGGCTCTTCTCTTACTCCCTCTCATCTTCAGTCCATTACTTGTTTGGCCTGCCTTGCTTCCAACTTAGCTCACATCGTCTTGCTTTCTCTCTCAAACCTCAATCTCCCTTTACATATATCGTTATCTAACCACTCATCCCTTGGGTTTCACAGGTCTGCGGCGACGTTTTGACCAAAAAGAAGCTCGACCCGCATCGCCAACGCTGCTGGGGCGCAAACTTCACCTGCATTGATTGTATGACCCACTTCCCGGGTACTGAATATCGCTCCCATACGGTAGGATCTCCTTGGCTCACGTTGCACGATGCCGGACGGTTGACGTGTTGGCCCTGAACCCCGCTGACTGTTATGTAGAGTTGTATGACGGAAGAACAAAAGTATCAGGGTGCTCTCTACCGACCCAAGAAAGGAAAGGGCCAACAAAACCAGAACCAGAACCAGAATCAAAACCAGAACAGGAACCAGAACAACCAAGCCATGGCGCAACCCGCGTATGTCGAGGAGGTTGCGGAGGACTTTGACACATGGCGCCAGTACGACAACAACGGCAACGCGCCTGCTCAGGCACCCACTCCTCCTTCAGCAACTGAGGCTCCCGTTAATGTTTTCGATTACATGGTCAACCCTACCCCAACCGCGTCGCGGGTTTCCGTTGCGGAAGAGCCTGAGCAGAAGGAGAGCAACGAAATCGTACGCTACGAGTCGAAGACCGAGGAGACCACAGAGAACGCCGTTGTTTACTACGAAACCCCGGCGCCAAAGAAGAAGTCCAAGGATGGAGAGAAGGAGGTCAAGAAGGACAAGAAGAGAAAGAGGGAACTTCACATCGAGATCGACCATCCGATGACCGACGCGCCTCCCGTTTTGCACTCCGGATTGACCGGCGGAATCAGTCGCATGATGAGCAGACCCGACGTCTTCCCTCCCTCGCCAGAGTCCGCAGAGACACCGGCCGGCCCCCTCAAGAAGTCCAAGCACTCGAAGCACCACAAATCTGAGAGTCTCGGCAACAGCCTGATGGCCATGATTTCCGGCTCGAAGCCCAAGAAGACCAAGACCTCGAAGACCAAGGACTCCTCGAAGGACAAGAAGGACACCAAGGAAAGGAAAGAGAAGAAGTCGTCGTCTGCCTCGCCGTCATCCAAGAAGACCAAACACAGCCACAGCAAGCCGCTCGAAGCACCCAAGGAGCAAAAGATGATTGAGTACAGGCCCGGTTCCAAGGATGGCGCTACTGAAAAGAACAAGGACAATGAGGTTGTCATCTTCCAGCCCCGCGCCGAGCGCTTCCTGAGCTTCGTAAACAAGGGCCCCGAGAGCGACAAGGGCGTAAGCCTCAACAAGGCACTGAAGCGCTATCACCGTGAGCGCAGCGCGTCGGGAACTAGTGCGAGCAAGGTGGCGGAGGAGAAGGAGCTGTGGCGGTCATTGAGGATGAGGAGGAACGATAGGGGAGAGATCGTATTGTTTTGTGTGTAGGTAGGTGCGAAAGGTGGAGAGACGCAAGGACAAAAAAGAACAGCAAAGACAATGTCCAAAAAGGAAGGAAAACGGTGGTGATACGACGGCATTCGAGGGATACGGCGGGCCTGCCCCTTCCTTTGTTTGTTGGATTATACCATACCATGTGCTACTACTCTGTTTAAATATTTCGAAAAAGGGCAAACAATGGAAAACATGGAACGGATGCATTTTCAAAATTTACCTCGGACCCCCTCGGGTCCGAATCCAGTACCTACACATCCCCTCAGACGCATGCATGGTCGTGGTCGTGGTCGTAGTCGCGAGTTTATAACCAACCCTAACCTACCTAATACCACAACAACCAAACAAGTGGCAGCATGGTCAAGCGGTGTGGTGCGCTGAGCTCTCATTGCACTCACTCACTTTCATCCCATCCCACATACCCCATACCTCTTAAGAGGTCCGGTTCCGGGCTCCGAATAGAAACCGTGGGTTGCGTGTTTCCACACGCAAGGAGAACCTGAGTATCTTCCCGGCCGCTGCGCGTTAATGCCTCCTTAGCTCAAGTTCTTAATCCTTATACGCACCCTACAGTTTAGGTAGCTGGGAGGCCCTGGGAAGGCGTTGCGTGCCGGGCGACCGCCGGAGTGGTACCTTTTCCTTGGAAGTCTAATTGCGAAGTGGCGCCTTCCGGCTGTGTCAAATAGGGCTCTTCTACTCCCTCCCACCGAGCAAGACGTCAGCCGTTCGATTCCTGCTCTTGTCCTATCTTTTTTTGCTACTTTTCTTATTGGTGATGTTCCTTTTTTCGCGGTCGGTGATGCGAGGTGTCATTTTCGCTATTAATAATGGTGAAGCTATCGTTGGATCTTGGCGATAGACAACGCGTATTTAGGTATATACATACCTCTATCGGTTACAGCGTTTGAGAAGAGAACAGAGGTTGCTTATCTTTACGTCTTTTTTGTATTTCTTTCTAAAAGAGGGCACTTTCATTCATCCTTTGTCTATGGCTTTTCGGTCCTGGACCTTGCTGAGTTTAGGACATACTAACCGGACGGCTGTCACGGGGAGAAGCACAAGAGCATATACAAGCAAGATTCAAAGCAGAAGTTCGAACCGAAAATTAAAGCTTTTGTTAATGTTATCAAATGGCCGTTTCGAGCATGCTCTTCCCTAACAATCCTTCGCTAAGCTAACCATACCAGCATCTACGGTATAGGTAGGCATCTCTAACAAATAGCCTCTACACATCTATACCAGCAGCAGCCGCCTTGTCAATCTCCGGAGCGGTTACATTCTCACCCTCAGGCTCAGCCTGTTCTCCAATTGAGCTTCCCCTATCCGACGACGAGGACGGCTTGGGTTCATTTTCCTCATGCGCAGCAGCATTCTCGACACTCTGGTCTGCGTCCGAGACTCGGTTTTCCTCTTGAACCGACTCGCCGTCGTGGCTTCCTTCTTCTGGAGTGCCTGCTCCGGCTTCGGATCCAGATGCCGAAGTATCACTGTTGTGCTTTCTCTCTTTTTCCTCTTCCTTCTCCGCAGCAACCTCCCAATCATCCTCCACCACTTCCGGGTCCTTTTTCACCTCCACCACGGGCTTCTTCTCCATGATTTTCCTCAGCGTAACAAATGACCTTGTCAACGGAGCTGCCGCCTTCTCCGCCTCGGATGCCGACGTCTTGGAACCACCTCCAAGCCGTTTCCAGGTCCCCCGACTAGCAACCGCATTCCAGCCACCAGCACCACCTGCCCCGCTCTCCGCCTCTCGCCGAGCGACGTTCAATGAGTCGTCAGCGTGGCAAAGGACCACTCCCCCGGTTGCCAGCTTGAGACGGGTAACCGTCTTGGAGACAGCAGATTTGAGCGTCATGAGAGCAGACTCAACGGCCTGCGGCGTCGGGGCGATGGTGGCGTTGGCGATAGCCGCTGCTGTAGAAGCAGGCACGGCTTTGATTAGTATCTCCTCCGAGGGGAGGAAGTTCGTGGTAAATGAGACGGCTGTGAGGCCGGATCTGGCGACACTCTTGATATCAGAGGACAGCGCCTGCTCCAGCTCTTGGATAGTGAGTCCAAATCGGGGCTCCTTGAGCAACAGCGCGTTGTAGGATTGCTGCTGCTTCGGGGGAGCAACGACTGGGGGAGCTGCCGCGGCCTTAAGAGCGGCGGCGGCAGCTTTGGTGATACGGGCGCACTGCGCAAGTGTCTTAGTGGGAGCAGCGACGAACCGCGGAGTCTTGAAGACGCAGACGTGTCGATGGGGCTCCGGGTCTTGGCTCTCCGAGTCGAGGCCGAAGTCCTCGGCTAGACTGTGCAGGAAAGCGCGCTGGGACGGGGGCATGGGCTTGAACCTGAGACGCTTCTCGTCGGGCGAGGAGGCGAAGACGCGGAACTCACGCTCCTGAGTCTGTGCCCAGTTGACGTTCTCCTTGAACATCTTGAGAGTTTTGTCAGAGTAGGGGATGTGGTCGTCCGT